TTAAAATGAACAAGAAAGGAGAAAGGGGGTCTCCTTGTCTTATACCCCTACTGGCTGGAAAGAAATCTACCACTGTCCCATTCACTAGCACTGAAATAATGACAGTTCCGGACACAGACCATGATCCACTTACACCATCTAACCCCAAACCCGAATTTAGTTAAAACTTTCCTCAAGAACTCCCAGTCCACCAAGTCATAAACCTTTTCCAAGTCCAGCTTACAGACCACTCCCTTCTTCTTATCCCTCTTAAAGTTCTCCACACTCTCATTAGCAATTAAAATCTGGTCTGTAATTTGTCTTCCTCTCACAAAAGCTCCTTGATAGTGTGCAATGATATCTGGCAGTACCTTCTTCAGCCTCAAAGACAACACTTTTGCAATGATCTTATACAAGCTATTAACCAAGCTTATTGGCCTAAAATCCTTCGGGTGGGATGCATCTTTCTGTTTTGGAATATTCTATATATGTTTATCTTGCTAAATTAGGTCAAGAATCATGAATTTATTTTTATTTTTCAAAAATATAATGTTAGATTTTTCTAATTTTGGTAAATGCAAGTTTCCTAAGCTTTACTTTCTAGTTTCTTGGTGTCAAAGGAATTGACTTAATTATCATCATAAAGAGTCATAATAGTTTAAAGGGTCTTATTACAGCAAAGTCTTTAGAAATTAAAGATGTTGAAAATGTATATCCATCACCTTTTGTCAGGCTTCTTGTAGTCAAAACTTGTATGGCTATAAAAATGAGAAACACTAGCTGAAAATCTGAAAATCTGAAACTTCTTTCAGATCTAAATCATATAAGAAATAAAGTTCACATATAGATACATGCATCATAAATGCTAACCTTCATAAGATAATCTGCCTGATCCTGGGAAGGTACTCTGACCTTTGGTGAACTTGACTGCAGCGGAGAGCCTATAGATCCATCGGTTCCTGCAAGTTGTCCATCTTTTGTGTTCAAGTTTCCCCTAGGTAAAACCCTGAATCTTCGGGGATCCATATCTCCATAGTTAGGGGAAGTACCAAGATTGCCTTGTGCCTGAGCCTGGGCTAGAAGCTGCTGTTGTTGTTGTGGTGTCAAAAGCTGAAATTGGTTTGTGGTCTGTAGAAAAGGCTTCTGCACTTGCGCACCTAAAGCCGGTCGTAGTTGGTCAATACCCTACATAATTTGGTAATAACCATAGTCAGAAGGTCAAATAACCAAATTAGAAATATACTTAGTATAATCAGGGAAGGTATACTTCAACATCTAACTTACTGTTAGGGGCCAACCCTTCAATGGTAAAGCACTGACACCTTGGTTCAATCCTAAAAAGAAAGAGGAGAAATCATAAGAAACATTCTGTCATAGTTTAATAAATAAAAAAATGATTTCAAAATCCACCTATTGGTTTCAGAGCTTAGTCTGGGATGCCAAAAAATACAGCCAAAGCTTAATGCCAACACCTAAATCTGGTCTTAAACAAATAGAACAAATCAACAAAATTTTCAATATGAAAACCAAGGAATGAAACCATCATTTCAGCCATCCAATTCATGGATATCTGACGTCTCATAAAAAAATCTAAATATCTTACATATATCAAAATTGATAGCAAAACCTGTAAGTTGCATTCAGAACCAAGGTAGCTCATATTACAAATGAAATATAAAATATGACATCACAATACAACCAGAAAGTTGATACAATTCCAACTCCAGTACCACTGATACATAGCAACCAAATCTTATGAGGAATGCAAATAAATGGACAAAATGAATTAACAGAGTGGGAATAGTTTCTTGAAACTATCATTCAACATTGCAAGGAATAAGTCAATCAAAAGTGTGCACCAAATAAAAGAAAATAATTTGGGTCATATGACAGCGAAGAGGCATCAGTTCACCATAATGGAAATCCAAACAATGCACCAAATCAACAGCCAGACACATTGATGAATTATCATCAGTGGAGACAGACCATGATCATTGTCATTGTACTTCCTCATATCAAATTCAGAAAGAGAAGCGTCAAGTTATCCTTTGAGGTAGAGTGAAAGGGCTAAAGTTCCATATCTAGAGTTAGCCCCAACATCTAATGACCATGTGATAACGGCATGTCACTCTCACCATTTCTAATCATAAAGGCAGCATGATTATAAATACTTGAAAGAAGATAAACAAAGGAGAACACAGAATTGGAAACTAGTGGTGTGCAAAAAAAGATGAGAAATTCTACAGAAAACAAGCAACAAAAAAATAGAGGGAGATCAGGAATAAGGAAAAACATCCAAACAACTTACAGAAAAGACTAACACCATCTATCTTTTGGGGAGGAGGTGTCAAGGTGTTGCTTGGTGTCAAAGAATAGTCATAGGTTTTTTACCCCAATTCACTGACAAAGGAGACTGGTTTGCAGAAC